GTCTGATTTCGACTGTTGAATTGCACAGGTGATATTATATCTGTCACACTCCTCGGTCAACCCATCGTCGTCGTCAGCTCACTTGAGCATGTCACAGAGCTGCTCGAGCGACGAAGCGCACTATACTCTGACCGACCGAGACTCATTGTCGGCGGGAAGATTGCCGGATGGGATCGCAATGTTGTACTGAGGCCTTATGGTCCGCGCTTTCGTGAAGCACGCCGCTTGCTGTCTCGATGTATCGGTTCTAGAAGTAGCGTGGCTCGTTTTGCGCCAATGCTGCAGCACGAAATAAGCAAATACCTCTTGGACCTTCGGCGCAGCCCGGAGCAATTTGTAGCCCACATTAAGAAGTGAGCGTCCCGGTGATTCGTCCTCACTGCACCACTCATATCGTATATATGTAGGTCGGCTGCAGGGATCATCCTCAGGATGACGTACGGGTACCAGATCAAGGGCGAAAAAGATCCTTTAGTTGAGATTGTCGACAAAGCAATGGCTCAGTTCAATCTGCTTGTACTTCCGGGGACCTTTCTTGTGGATTTTTTCCCGATTTGTATGCAGCGAATTATCTCTTCCTCTTCCCTCAATTGCTCATATGTTTAAGTGGAGCATATCCCATCCTGGGTACCGGGTACTGGCTGGAAGCGGAGGGCTCTACATGCCCGTCAAGACACAGACGCCATGCTCGACGTGCCATACAGCATTGTTGAGAAGGAAATGGTAAGAAAGAGATACCGTGTTCTTACCGTTCTTACCAATTTTATGAATTTGCCAGACCGCGGGCACAGCTACTCCCAGTTTTCTGTCGATGAACATGGAGGGCAACCAGGATCCTACTGAAGAATTTCGAAGTATTCTTAAGATGACAGCTGGTGCACTCTACGCTGGTAAATTTCTTACTATTTCTCACCCGAATCGCTCAATCGATATACCCCGGTCTCTAGGTGGCTCTGATACCGTACGTAGTCCATTCTTCGTCCGAATTCGTCCTCGTTAACCTAACCTCTGCTTAGATTGTCTCTACTCTTCACAGCTTCTTCTTGGCTATGGCTTGCTATCCTGAGATACAAAAGAAGGCGCAGCAAGAGATTGACGCTGTTATTGGCAACGATCGACTCCCGACCCTAGCTGACCAGGATTCGCTACCTTATGTCAATGCATTGTGCACCGAGCTCCATCGGTGGAACCCTGTTGGTCCGCTCGGTGGGTAACCTGTTCTTTGTCAAAAGTACAACGGGAAGCTACATAAAACGAGAATGCAGGCGTTGCCCATCGTCTCATTCAAGATGACGTCTACGCCGGATATTCTTTCCCGAAGGGGACTCTGATCATAGTAAACATCTGGTCAGCGCTAATTCATAGCGAACCCTTGTCGTCTACTAATATTATTACTACTGCTTGTTGCAGGAAAATCCTCCGCAATCCTGAAATCTACAAGAATCCATTGGACTTCAACCCTGGCAGGTTCATGGGCGCAGAACCCGAACCAGATCCTCGTCCTGTCGCATTTGGATTCGGCAGAAGGTTTATCCTCTCACGCTGGCTGTGACTCTGAAAGCTGACTTGCCTCCTTTTTTTTCAGAATCTGCCCTGGTAAGGATTCACATTTATTGGCACAAGCTTTTCGCCTTACATGCGTTCAGGCCTCTACTTCGCGGACGCGTCCATTTTCCTATCATGCTCTATGATGCTTGCCGTGTTTGATGTCTCCAAGGCTGTGGAGTACGGGAAAGTGATAGAGCCTGTCATTGAGTATACGAGCGGACTAGTCAGGTATGTCTGTTGGTATCTGTACGGGGGTGAATGTTAATGTAGGATCTCCAAGCCATCCGGTCCCGTTCAAGTGTTCGATCAAGGCTCGATCCGCGAAGGCCGAGGCATTGCTGGACTCGATAGACTCTGAAGCCTCTCATGACTAGAGGGTCCTGAGAGCCTTGTAGCGGCGTGTATATATACGTCTTCGTCAATTATGGTGATAGGTGATTGTGATGCAGTTTCATCCATAACTCGAACGGGCACTCATAGTCCTACCTTCTAGCATATGCGGGATATGGTGCAGGCCGCATTGACTAAGTGCTTGTTTGATTCGTCTCAGTCGACCCAAATTGCCGTCCGATTTGATACTAATACAGTTCTTGAGTGCCAACTTTATGTCGTGCTCACCTCAAGCGATCACATCAAGGTTCAGTGTCCTTTCAGATTTACTAGCAGTATGCCCGTGCTTAGTATGCACGGTTGCTTCATTGATTTCAAGTAACTGTATCTAGTGGGCAGCAACAGTGGCAGCTCCTGCCGCGTCCGACCTGCGATCGGTCGGTTCGGAGCTCCTGTCTAGTACATAGTGCATAGTTACAGAAAGACCAAACACTAATGATAGAACAACGGCGAGTATGGAATACGCAGTGTCCCGTACTGGTCGTTCAAAACCGTCACGGGAGAACGGCTACTCCTCCTCATACCTATCACAGTAGCGGAGTGATTGCACCTGGATAATCAAGTCCTATTCCCGCATGGGACTGCTGTTGCGGTTGACTGCCGGAGTAGCAAGCGGGAGGAGCAAACGACAACATAATGCCTAGAATAGCTTGTTGTGACGGTGAGCTTGCGTAGAGTTCTGCAACAGAAATATGGATATCACAGACAATTGCTAACGTGTGCTGAAGCTTATCTGAGTACAAGCATAGGTTTGCTTTGAGGGATCCACCATGCGTGACAGCCCTTCGCCACACGTACAGTGCGATTACGGGTGTTGCCCGTATCCAAAGCCACACTCCGTTCTCTATAAGGATCGTCATTCAAACCACCCCTGTTGGAATCTCCTCGCGCACCTGGCTGAGCTCCTATATCTGACATGCTCGGACTCGGTGCACTGTCCATGTTGAGCTTAAATTGTTGTTTTCGCAATTCTAATTGGTGCGGTGCTGATGAACTACACGCGTTTCGAGAACTACATATACCGCGCCCGGAAGTCTCGAATTGTAAGCTACAACTTCTTTGCTACTGGACCGCAAGGGCGACCCCCCTCGTCGCGCTCGACGTGGGTCTTCCTTTTTTGGAGACCAGAATATACTTCGGGGTACCGCGGTGGCCCGGTGATCATGTTGGTGACCCCCCTAAAAAGGAAAAGAAGCATCACCAACCCAATGCACGCCCCGTATATACCTGGCGAGTAGAGGGGATAGGAGAGAGCGCTCTCAGCTATCTCACTTCTCTCAACGGCCAGGTATGTGTGCAGTACGAGAGCGCGCTCTCTATCACAGCTGACCCAGGATCACGTCAGATCCCGTTTTCGTGTATATATACTGCCATCTGTCGAATCAATGAGCGGACATGCAAATCCCCCTGTTGAGCTAACTGAAACCCCGTCCATTATCAAGATCCAGCAGTCCTTCCTCGATGTCACTCTTGCTGTGCTAGGCGTGGTCTTAGTGAGCCTGATATTCTCAAGCAGACGCAAAAGCTCTCTTCCTCCAGGACCCAAAGGCTGGCCTATTATCTGAAATGTCTTGGACATGCCCACCTCGTACCAATGGAAAACGTACACTCAATGGGCGGAAAAATGGGGTGAGCATACGTGACGGTACCGTGTTTTGTCTGTTCAATATTTGATTTCGACCGTAGGTGATATCATCTCTGTCACACTGCTCGGTCAACCCATCGTTGTTGTCAGCTCGCTTAAGCATGTCACGGAGCTGCTCGAGCGACGAAGCGCACTATACTCCGACAGACCGAGACTCACTGTCGGCGGGAAGATTGTCGGATGGGATCGCATTGTTGTACTGAGTCCTTATGGTCCACGCCTCCGTGAAGCACGCCGCTTGCTGTCACGGTGGTTCGGCTCCAAAAGTAGCGTGGCTCGTTTTGCGCCAATGCTGCAGCACGAAACAAGCAAATACCTCTTGGACCTTCGGCGCAGCCCGGAGCAATTTGTAGCCCACATTAAGAAGTGAGCCTACCTGTGATTCGTCCTCACTGCGCCGCTCATGTGTCGCTATCAATGTAGGTCGGCTGCAGCGATCATCCTCAGGATGACGTATGGGTACCAGATCCAGGGCGACAAAGATCCTTTACTCGAGATTGTCGACAAAGCAATGGTTCACTTCACCATGCTTGTACTGCTGGGCACCTTTCTTGTGGACACTTTCCCGATTTGTATGTAGTGAATCCTCTCTTCCTCTTCCATCAATTGCTCATATGTTTAAGTGGAGCATGTGCCATCCTGGGTACCGGGCACTGACTGGAAGCAGAGGGCTCTACATGCCCGTCAAGACACAGACGCCATGCTCAATGTGCCATATAACATTGTTGAGAAAGAAATGGTAAGAAAGCGATAACGTGCTCTTACCGCTCTTATTGGTTTTATTATTTTGCCAGGCCGCGGGCACAGCTACTCCTAGTTTCCTGTCGGTGAACATGGAAGGCAACCCGGATCCTACTGAGGAATTTCGAAGTATTCTAAAGACGACAGCTGGTGCACTCTACGCTGGTAAATTTCTTACTATTTCTCACCCAAATCGCTCAATCGATATACTCCGGTCTCTAGGTGGCTCTGATACCGTACGTATTTCATTCTTCGTCCCAATTTGTCCTCGTTGATTTAACCTCTGCCCAGACTGTCTCTACTCTTCACAGCTTCTTCTTGGCCATGGCTTGCTATCCTGAGATACAAAAGAAGGCACAGCAAGAGATTGACGCTGTTATTGGCAACGATCGACTCCCGACCCTAGCTGACCAGGATTCACTGCCTTATGTCAATGCAGTGTGCACCGAACTCCATCGGTGGAACCCTGTCATTCCGCTCGGTGGGTAACCTGCTCTTTGTCAAGGGTACAACTGTAAGCTACATTAAACGAGAATGCAGGCGTTGCTTTTTCCCAAAGGGCACTCTGATCACAGTCAACGTCTGGTCAGCGCTAATTCATAGCGAACCCTTGTTGTTTTCTAAAATAATTATTGCTTGTTGCAGGAAAATTCTCCGCGATCCTGAAATATACAAGAATCCGATGGACTTCAACCCTGGTAGGTTCATGGGCGCAGAACCCGAACCAGATCCTCGTCCTGTCGCGTTTGGATTCGGCAGAAGGTTTATCCTCTCACGCTGGCTGTGACTTTGAAA